GGTGTCCAGCAGTGAGGACATCAACTCGACCATCCGTCAGTTCTTCTGCACCAACAAGACCTACAATGACATGGCCACGCTGTTCTTCAACCCACAGGAAGCTGCCATCCACCAGCTCTTCCACCAGGACGGTGAGCAGAGCACGTGCATTTATAACAGCTCTGTTATAAATCTATATCACATCCTGCTGAGGTGGAGTGGTGGAGTCAGCAGTAATGTAGGAGTTGTAGGCGGAGCTGAGTCAGAGGGCAGAGCTTTTAGTTTATCAGTTGATCTACTTTCCAATTGTCACCTATGGTCATGAGCTTTGGGTGGTGACTGAGAATAAGATCATGGATACAAGCAGTGGCTGGGCTCGCCATTCACCTCTAAGGAGGGAGTGAGGAGTTGAGCTGCTGCTCCTTCAAGTCCAAATGAGGCGGCTGAGGTGGTTCAGGGGCGCTAGCTTGCTTAGCCTGCTAGCTACATGATCTTGATCTGTGAGCAGTGCCAAATTTAACAGAATACATCATCTCACCAACAGAGTGCTCAGATGTCACAAAGCAGGCAAGCTTACCAACCATCACCAGCAAACTGATGTTTTCATTTTCTTTTTATTGGTTAGTTAATGTACAGATGGAATGATTTCAATAAATAAGTTGTCAGTTGTAGTGCAGCTCTAAACGCTCAGCTCAAAGCAGACCTGGAACCAACGAGCTGTCTTAAAGTGACAAATGCTCCCAGCTTCCTGTTGCTCAGTTTTAGCTGGTATTTATTATTCTCTGTCCACCCATCTGCTCGCCCTCTCCTCAGGTACCTTCAGCCCGGTGACTCTGTCAGTGTTCTTCCTGCTGTACTTCCTGTTGGCCTGTTGGACCTACGGCGTGTCTGTACCCAGCGGCCTGTTTGTGCCCTCATTGCTCTGTGGGGCGGCGTTTGGACGTCTGGTTGCCAACATCCTCAAAGTGTAAGAACAGTGTTCTCCTAATGTTCTAAAGGGGGGATTTCAACCAGTGGTCCATGAAGGCATTGCAGGCGGTCCAATTACTTACTGTTTGTGAATAATCAGATTCATGCCAATATTTAACATTTAGAAACGTCAAGGTGACTTTCAGGATTAGAACAGTGCCCACAGCAGCTGTCCTCAGGTGGCTTTAGTCAGGACGGTGGCCGCTGTGTCACAGTGTGTTCTAATGACCAGGGTTTGTCTGCTACTCCATTGGCAGAGGCATCACAGGTATCGAAGCAAGACAGACTGAGTAAATGTTACAAACTTTTTAAGAGTTTGGTAGAATATCTTTTACACTCTGATGGTCTCAGGTAGTTCAGGTGTAACAAATAAAACTGGAACAGTTTTACCTCATAAAATTTTGTGACATAAAGTGAAAGTGAAGTGAAGTTTCCCATCAGGGCCACAGAGGGAGTTACAGCTCTTTGCTGTCATGTTCACAGTCTCTAAGGATAGCAGCACATGCTAAACATTACACGCTAATTCAAAATGAGGAACGATACCTGAGGCGTGTAGTGGTGCAGCTGTAAAAACATCTTCTTGCATCTTGACATGTACATGATGATATGTTTTATCTCAGTAGTGCATCAGATGTTTGTGTGGCACAATAATCACCTGCTCCATGAAGCTTTTTAGCCTGTTTAGTGCATTGTTTTGGTTTTCTGACACATTCCCTGCACACATCAGCTTTGTTCAAGGAGAAAAGCTTAAGGGAATATTGGAAAGATTAAAGAAACAATGAAGAAAAGACTTATGATCCATCTGAGCCTGTTTGGAAAGGTCCACAGCAGGTGGAAAAGGCTGACTGGGTCATTTTCTTTGTCTCAGTTTCTTTCACTTCCTCTGCTGTCACAACAGGCTCTGAGCTCCACTCAGCAGCTCAGGCCTGTGTGCACGTCACCAAACACGTTCTCACTGCCACGTGTCACCTCCGCTTCCTGCCATTGCACATGGGTTCCCCACTTATATTGGTTCCTTCTGTTTGTCTGTCAGGAAACTGGGTCTGCACATCTACTCGGGGACCTTTGCGCTCATCGGAGCCGCCGCCTTCCTTGGAGGCGTGGTCCGAATGACCATCAGTCTGACTGTCATCCTCATTGAATCCACCAATGAAATCACATACGGGCTGCCCATCATGATCACTCTAATGGTACAGTCATGTGACGTGTCAGCGTTGCCTGCAGTCGGCCACTGTGCCGTGGCTGTAATGACATGAACGTTAGCTTGTTTGTCTCACATTGATCAGTGTAAGCTAAGGTTCAGTGATGTGTCTCCTGACAGATGCTTTGGTGTTGATTATCAGGTTGCTAAGTGGACCGGAGATTTCTTCAACAAGGGCATCTATGACATCCACATCGAGCTGAGAGGAGTGCCACTGCTGGACTGGGACACCGAAGTTGAGATGGACAAGTAAGATTTGTTTAAACTATTTCTGTGCTGTTGGCAGGTTGAATGCTGTTTTGGTGACTTGCTGCGTACAGCAGGGGGTCTGTCCATAGCACTGCTGAGCTAGTGCCAAGACCGACTGTGTTCCACATGGTCCGACCCTTGTAAGCGCACACAGATTCATGTTTTGCTGCTCTTTGGCCCCGTTTATTTATTTAATCTATTACAACTCCACTGATATGATCGAGCGCTCAGGTCATCTGGACACCTACTAAGCAGTGGGGTGACCGTGCTTTCGCTGTAGCCGCTCCTAAATTGCGGAAAACTCTTCCACCTGACCTTTGCTCTGCCGCTGACCTCGCTCTCTGTAAATCCAAACCAAAGACTTGTTTACTTTGGTTCTTGGTTCCTAGTAGAGCTTTACCAGTTTTACTATACTGGTGTTGATCACGTGTTGCCAGTGTTAATGTTCACTGTCATATTTAAGTCTTTACGTTGTTATGTTTGCCTGTTGTATGTAAAACACTTCAGTCAACCTTTAGCTGTTTTTGAGTGCTGCATAAATAAAGGTTGAGTTGAGCAGTTTTATTCTCAGGTTAGTATTTAATGCCAAAGAGACAGTATAAAGTTTAATGAGCAGCAGCTAGCAGTTCACACTGGAGGCTTTTCTTTTACTGCGGGCCCTCTCTGTGCAGCCATCCGAAGGCGTCAGCTATATTCACTTATTTGTGGGTCAGAAACAGGGTAGACATGCTGTTACCGCAAGTGTATGCAGCACAGTGAAGGGTTGAACAGACAGGTGTTTCATTCCCAGTCCGTCAGTGACACTCTAGGAGTTGTGACCCTTCTCTAGGTGCAACGTTGCCACACACTCATCCTGGGTGAAGCCTAACGTCAGTGTCCCTCCTGTGTCTCTGTGTTGTCTGCGTGTTGTCTGTGTGTTGTCTCTGTGTTGTCTGTGTGTACCTTTCCAAGGCTGACAGCCAGTGATATCATGGAGACCAACCTGACCTACGTGTACCCTCACACCCGTGTCCAGTCTCTGGTCAGCATCCTGCGCACCACTGTCTACCACGCCTTCCCCGTGGTCACTGAAAACCGGCAGAATGAGCAGGACTTCATGAAGGGGAACATCCTGGTCAGCAACAACATCCGCTTCAAGGTAGGTCCCGGAACACTGAACATTTTTAGCACTTGGAGCCTGTCCCATATCCAGAGGGAGTTGGAGAAAGACGGGAGGTCAAGCGTTCTGTCCAAGGACACTTCATTACACAGGAATGAGCTTGTAGATGTGAAACCTCTGTCTAATGATGCTGCCGCCCTGCTGACACATTCTGCCTGCATACAGTATGTCAAGCCATTATCACATTTCATTTCCTTTGTTCTAATTGTCACAGTTTTATTGTTGATAACGATACACCTGTGATTTACAGTATATGTAACCGGCCAGCAGATGGAGGTGGAGGTCTGTGTGCTCTCTTTTACAGAGACGTGCCTCTGACCTCTCCTCAGCTGAGCACGTCACCAATTGTAACATGTAGCTAACGAAGGTCATCTTTGTTTCTGCCTTTGCCACTAAGTAGTGGCACATCAATCTGCTGACTTTTCATAATCTACTAAGCATTCACAGAAATTTGTCAGCTGTCATACATTTTGGTTTCATCTGTAGAAAGGCATCCATCCTTTTAAACGATACGTTTCATAAAACAGTAAATGACTGGATCCTTTTAACAAGTATTGTGTGTGTAGTCAAAGCCTGATGAATTGTTTTCCTCTGGGCACCTTTCTATCAAACTGTCACCTGTAGAAATCCAGTGTTGTGTCCCGGGCGGGGGAACAGCGGCGGCGCTGCCAGTCCATGAAGTCGTACCCTTCCAGCGAGCTGAGGAATGTTTGTGATGAGCAGAACGCCGTGGTAGAGCCCGCAGAGGAGGGCGAGGACATGCTGCAGCAGATGCTGGAGAGGAGGTAGGACACACACGTGCGCCAGCGTAAGCCACCAAGCACATGGAATGTCAGTGTCCTACATGATGAGGGAAGTGAAATCCAGTTGGGGTGGAGTTTAAGTTGGGGATGACTTTACACCAGAGGTGATAAAATGCTAAGATCCTGCTGTAATAACATTGTTGAGCACTTTAGATTATTGTATTATTGTAATAGTATGGAAGAAATAAAGTGAAATACAATGTGTATTATTATATGTGCCATCTACCTTAATGTGTGTGGGGAGAAAGGAGGGCGGCAGTGGAGGCACGGCCAATCTCTTCATTAAAAACAAGCAATAAAACTTTAAAGACAGTTTTGTAGGCCACAGGACGCCAGTGCAAGGAGGCCAAAGCACAAGAGGTAAGGTAATATTGTCTAGTTCTTTTGGGAACCCTAGCACAATATTTTTTAAAGGCTGGAGCTGTTCAGTTGATTTCCGAGGCAGGCGCTGCAGTGGTCTATATGGCTGTAAACACAGGCATAAATAAGGGCTTTTGCATCGTTGAACGAACACAAGGATCTGGTCCTAGCGTCGCTCCAGACCTGAGAGATGACTGTGGTTGTTAGCCATGAAAATGAGAGGAAAACCTTCAGACCCACCCCTGGTTACATGTAAACTGAGAACAGTACCGCCCTCTGCTGGACAGCTCTGAAATGCAGTACACCACTGTTATTTCTCTGTTGTGGTTTGATTTGAACGTGGTATAGAAAATGCACGTTTCTCTCTGTGGCACAGACAATTTATGGAAACATTAAAACTGTGTTATTAAAGAACAAAGTTAAACTGTCATTTAACCATGACTGTAAACACACATGAAGAGGAAATACACACAACAATGTGGATTGTGTTTCACTTTATTTCATTGTTTTAATTTAGGCATTTAAAGTTTTCCATACTGCAACAATAGCACAGTACAGTGTAACTAATGTAATATATTATAGAAGCTGAATATGGCCACTGTTTTGTTGGACTGGGATTTTCTGCTTGGAAAATTTGTCTTCCATCAGTGTCGCAGGACTGAAACAGCTTCTCTGTGGTTGCTGTGTTGTTGTTGTCCACATGCAGGCACGCTCCCTACCCCAACCTGTACCCGGATCAGTCTCCCAGTGAGGAGTGGACTATGGAGGAGCGTTTCAGACCGCTCACCTTCCACGGCATCATCCTGCGCTCCCAGCTGGTCAACCTGCTCATCAGAGGGGTCTGCTACGCTGAGAACCAGTCGGTCAGTAGGCATCTCCATCACTACACTGACTTCCACTCAAGTCTTCACACTAGAATGGAATGATTTTATGTCTTTTTGTCCCCAAAAGTCCACACTATGAGACCAGCTATACAGATTTTTGTCCCCACAGCATCAGTAACACAAGTACACACACGCACATACAGTGCCAGAGCTTTAGGCAGTCAGAGGAGAGGGTTTAAAAATAATGTCACAAGGATTTCATTTATCAGTTAACATCACACCTCATGCAGAAAACAAACAGCACCAGTTCTCCAAGGTAGATCTGTGGACAGGTTGTTCCAGACCGGTGTCCTGCACTGGGTTGGGTGCCCAAAAATAATGTGCACCGGGTTAAAAATACACTTATGTTAATTCACTGATACGAGCGCAGGCAAAAATAGCTGCACGTGGGCGTCTCTGAATGTCTCTCCACAGAGTGCCTCTCAGCCCAGACTGAACTATGCAGAGATGACTGAAGATTACCCACGTTACCCTGACATCCATGACCTGGACCTCGCGCTCCTCAACCCGCGCATGATAGTGGTACGTCTGACTTAAACACTGAGATGGAAAAATACTTTTCTTAGTGAAATAAAAAAAAAAAACTAATAATATCTAAAACCTTTAGATTTTAAGTCAAAATTCTGAGTTGATCAAAGTTGAACCAGGATGTTCCCTGTGTTCGCAGGATGTCACCACCTACATGAACCCATGTCCCTACACAGTGTCACCCAACACCCGCATCTCCCAGGTATTCGGCCTGTTCAGGACCATGGGTCTGCGACACTTACCAGTGGTCAACGCTGTCGGGGAAGTAAGTAGTCACTGAAAACCGGTTTCAGTACTTTGGTTATGACAGACCAGGAAAAGCCCCAAACCAGCAGTTGGTTTCAGTCAAACATGCATTTTATGATGCTTCTGACCAAACTGTTGTTTATCTGCTTTTCAGATTGTTGGAATAATCACAAGACATAATTTAACCCATGAGTTCCTTGGTGCCAAACTACGACAGCACTACATCACTGTTTGACCACACTCAGGACGTCCTGTCATCCTCGCAACCCAAACTCTCTTCAGTGTGGTCCGTTCCCAACAACATGCAGGCATTCCCAGACAAACCCCGGACATTCACAGCCGTGCACACATTCCCTGTGGCCCGGTGGGGAGCAAGTCACTCCCTTCTGTTGTTTCTTCACTCAAGTCGTACATTTTCAGTGTTGAGTAACTGCCAGCTTTGCTCCCGCCTGGACTCGGATTTATTGGCTTCAGTGGCGGGACTGGACACGTGCACTGTCGGTGGGACTGGACACGTGCACTGTAGGTGGAACAGAGTCTGACATGTTGCTTTGTATAGAAGAAGTTTAAAAAGTGACAAATAGCCACCAAAGGATCCATACTGATGGCTGATGAGTACGGTTACCATCAAATTAGCCAATTTAGTTTTGATTCATTAACATAATTGGGGAAGCTAATAATTAAACAGGCTTATTTTTTAAAGATGAGGTAAGTAAGCTAGCTGTGCTAGCAGCAGCACACTCAAGTGTGGCGATGGTCCCAACAGGAGTCACCTTCATTTTTAGTTGTTTTATTCTTTATCATCGTTGTCACTGTAGCATTTATGTTTGATTGTTGTCTGTACATTTTAATTTACTGTGTAAGTAACTGGAATTTACGCACTAGAAGCAGGTCGACGTCCCTTCACGGCCTGCAGTTTACTTATTGACCACATCAGTTCATGTCAAGATGGACGTACAGTAACATTTCTAATCGCTTCAGCATTCTGATTGATTTGCACATATGGTATGTAATGGGTTCAGTGTTAGAACGTGCCATGGCCAAGAGGACTGGGTGGTCGCCACCCTCAGATCCTTGGCTGAGGTTTTGTTGTGTGACTGGGGGGGTTTACAGGACTGGATTTTAAAGACAAACTGCAGTACTCTGCTGGTGGTTCATCAGCAGTAAAGTGTATTTAAGGTTTATTTCATGGTCATTCCTAAAGGCACTAACAATGTGACTCGGAGCAGAGGCAAGTAACAGGAAGTGGATCTGTACATTGATCGATGGACACTACTCCGCTGTATGTCCGGCTGATAACCACAATGGCACATATATGAACATTAAACATTCCTTTTTTGTTTTTTTAATCTCCACTTTGTTTTATTTCAGAGATTATTTTTTATACCATTTTATTTTGATGATTTGTTGCATGTGCTGTGAATGATTCACCATCATCCTGCTAATATTATTGTTTGCGTTCTAAGCATTGCTCACTTGGTATTTTACAATAATTATTTATAAGTTACCTGTTTTAAATTCTACACATGGCACGACAGGTGGTGTGGAGAATATGAGATGAAGAGGAACATATGGATTGTGTGTGAAGCAGACCTGAGGGACTGTTTGCCAAATACTTTATGATTTATGTGGAGATTTCGACAGCAGCCTCTGCTTGTTTAGTTTCCACACATGTAGAGAACTGGCGCATGGCAAAGAAGCAGATACCTTTGTCTTGTGCCTTTATTACTGTTCAAATAAAGGCCGTTCTGTTTTGTCTGCATTTTATTTCTTCAAACTTTATTCATGTAGTCTCACTCTGTTTTTTCAAGAGACCTGAGAACAAACACAGTCGTGATGAAACTCATTTTTAAAACCAACTTTTATGTAAAAATATTAAACTAATTTCTTTATTAGGAACATAACTTCCATTTATTTCCTTCATTTTATTTTTTATTTTACAAATGTGGTTTATTTTCTGGAGACATCACAACTACATTTGACCAATGAAAGCATGGATTTCAGAGTGGGCGGGGCTGACCTTTGACATGTTTGTGCACCTTGTTCAATGTCTCCATGAGGAAAGCTTTGAAAATATTCCAATTCCACGGCGAATTAAAACATGCGGCAGCTACTAAGTGAAATAATGAATGTGTCAAAGCAAATGTGAGCCACAGATGGATGTTTCCAGAAACCACGTCTGGAGGGAGAACGAGTGCAAGAAATGAGTGGGGCTAATGCTAATGTTAGCTGGAAAGAAGCTAAACCTGGGCAGTACTCACTGGGTGTTACTGTCACTGGGACATGAGCTGCAGATTCACCGCAGGATACTGAATCTGTTCAGCTCCAGGCTGGTGATGGGATGAGCTGCAGAGATGCTGCTTTATGACTAAAGGACAGGATGATGGGATGAGCTGCAGTCTTCCTGCAAACATCCACACCGAGAAAAGATGCTGCTTTATGACTAAAGGACAGGAAATGCTGAGCTCCTTAATAGTGATGCAGTCAGTGAACGTGCACTGGAGCCTGAGGATTGTTGTGTTGTTTGTCACTGTGGTTGACTTTGTATAGAGAGGATAAACTAGCTGTATAATGGTGGATCTGTTTAGTTTGTTCAGGTTTTCTTTGGCTGAGATCTGCACATCCGAGTGCTGTTCGCAGTAGGCCAGTGACGGTGCAGCGTGAACAGTATCAGGCCCCTGAAACTGATTATTTTCACCTGTATTTTTTCTACCATGACTTGTCAAAATGTCTGCTGCGTAATTTATCCAGAAAATTAAGCACAGTATTACCAAACTAGCTTCCTTGGAGCGTGATGTTTAATATATTATGTGCTGAGCTCCATGGACCTAGACAATAATGTTGACAGCCCCGGGGATATTGTTATAGCAGGTGGACAAGTGTGAATCAGTGGCCGTTGACAGAGCTGAGCCCATCAGATCCCCCTGTTGGGGCAATTCAGCATTAACCGTGTCTGACAGAGCTACCGATGAGTCGTAAGGAAAAGAAATCAAACCTGAATGTGTCTCAGTCATGTGACCACAAACAAACTAAGGATATTATCATACTACAGCACTTGCCTGGGAGAGTCGAGGCTGATGATGGTGTGATTTCCGAATGCACTGTAAGGCCGCTTTTAATTTGGCTCTTAGAAGAGTCTAATGCAGTTTGAGCTTACAGCGCCTAACACCTCGGCCAGGTCCTTCCTGTCTCCACTCTGCTCATGCCGGCTTAAGCTGAAGAGGTGTTCCCCTGTTCCAAGGCTGATGACGGTGTGATTTCAGAATGCAGTGTAAGGCCGCTTTTAATTTGGCTCTTAGAAGAGTCTAATGCAGTTTGAGCTTACAGCGCCTAACACCTCAGCCAGGTCCTTCCTGTCTCCACTCTGCTCATGCTGGCTTAAGCTGAAGAGGTGTTCCCCTGTTCCCTAAATAAAACTAAACTAAGACACAAGTCTTAGCAAGCAGATCCAGCAGCTCATCTTCCAGTCTCAGCCTCCTCCCGCAGCTCTTTCAGCCACTGCTACTGTTCCTGTGGGTCCAGAACCCAAACCTCAACTTCCATCTCCG